GGAATATTAACTTGTAGTTTTATTCTCTTGTAGTGTCATTGCTTTTGCTATCAGGCCTCATAAAATGAATTTGCAAGTGTTGACTTCTCCACACTTTTTGGAAGAGTTTGAGAATGATCAATGTTAGAGAATGGTAGAATTTGTTGGTGAAGTCATTTGGCCCTGCACTTTTCTTTCATGGGAGTTCTACTGATTTAATCTCCTTACTAGCTATAGATCTGGTCACATTTATCTTTTTTTATGAGTTAGTCTTTGTAATTTATATCTTTCTAAGTGTTCATTCCTCCTAGGTTATCCCTTAGCTTTGGCTTATAATTGTTCATAGTGTCTCTTATAACCATTTTTACTTCTGTAACATCAGTTATAAAGTATCTTTCATTCCCATTTTATTTATCTGAGCATTTTTCTTTTGAAGTTAGTCCAACTAGAGCTTTATTAACTTTTCTGTTGTTTTCAATAACACAACTCATACTTTCATTGATTTTTATCTACTGTATTTATATTCTCTTATTTTATTTATTATGGCTCTAATTTCTATCTTCTTCCTTCTGCTAAACATCAGTTTCATTTGCTCCTCTTCAGGTTTGTCTAGGTTTAATGTTAAGTAGTTTTATTTTTTAAAAGAATTTAATAGCTATTGATATTAATTCCCCTTTGAATGCTTTGTAGAATTCATCTGTGAAGCCATCTGGTGCTGGAATTTTCTTTGTTGGAAAATTTCTAATTACTACTACAGTCTTTTTTAGTGACCTCTATAGCCAGTCTATTTCTTCTTGATTCAATCTTGGTAGGTAGTATGTTTCCAGGAAATTATGAATTTCTTTGAATCTTGCATTCTGCCTGCATACAATTGTTCATCATAGTCCTCTACATTCTTTTTAATTTCTGAAAGCTCCACTGTAATATACTTTTGTTTCTGATTTTATTTGAGATTGTCAATTATTTTTTCAAAATTACTCAGCCTTATTTTTCCTATGGATTTATATACACTCATTTGATTTATTTCTACTTTGATCTTTATTATTCTTTACTATTTCCTTTAACCCATTCACTTTTACTCTAGGCTATTCTTTTTATAGTTCATTGATGTACAATATTGTTTATTTGAAACCTCTTTATTTGAGCATTTCTCTATAAAGGTCCCTCTTAGAACTCTTTTTGCAGTATCCATTAAGATTCTGTACACTGTGTTTTCATTTTCATTTGTCTCAAGATACTTTTAAATTTCCATTTAGATTTTTTAGTTTCCACAGATTTGTGAATTTTCATAGATTTCTCCTATTTTTCATTTCCAATTTCATATCACCGTGACTGGAAAAAGATACTTGATATGATTTCAGTATTCTTAAATTTGTTGATGTATTTTCTATCCTAACATATTACCTACCCTTTAGAGTACTCCATATGCTATTAGATAAAATGTTCAGTATATGAGGTGAAATAAAAATATATGATAAAGATTCAAATTTTTAAAATTATTACAGTAAGACACATTGTCATTAATATCCCTCACTTTGAACACACTTAAACCATCATTCTTGCCACTTTCTTTGCTTAGTTTTTTATTTTTTAACTTTTTAAACAGGGTAAATGGATCTTATTTCCTTCAATTTGCTCTCTTCTCTTTCCATGATCTTTTTCCTGCTTCTTTTAAAATTTTTTATTAGTGAATGTTTGTGATACATAATAATTACATTCATCTGAGGAACTGGTATATATATATATATATGTAGAATATATAGAACAGAGTCCACCCAGCTGCATGTATGAGCAGCCATAGGCCCAAGCTAGAGGTATGCAGGCTTGTGCAGCTACAGGGACCTGCTGTGTGTTTAACCAAAGGAGTGGAAGTAGCCTTAGAGGACAAAACCAGTTGCTAATGCACAGGTAACTGTAGGGGCTGGGGCTGGCAGTATGCATTGTCCTAGCTGCAAGAGTCAGGTGCTGGTGCACTAGAGTGGAAGCTGGTGTCTTCAGCAGGGAACTTGGGGCTATTTGTAAGTCCAGATTTGGTGGTTGTATTGGATACTAAGCCAGAGCATCCACAGCAGAAACAGCTGGAATGGCTTTAGATTGGGAAGATGAAGTGGCTCAAGCACCTTGTAGCCAAAAATTTGCAGAACCTTTAGTAGTGAAAGCTAAAGGAAGTCTGTGATGGATGTACTGGGTCTTTGCTTTCTCAGCAGTGAAAGCTGCCAGGTTTCTCTGTAGAGCAAGACATGAGTTCTCAAAGTCAAATACTGTAGGGTGCGTGGCCGTGAAAGTGTTTTGGGATGCATGATGGCTAAGAAGCCTTCTGACATTCTCAGTGAAGAGGTGTAATGGAGTCCTGTGGGGAGCAGGATGCTAGGGAACATGGTGACTTCTGCTACATGATTGCTGTTGAAAGCCTCCATCTTCGTTGTTTCCAGCTGACCTTAGACATATCAACTATACTAGTCTCTCTGGTGATCAAAGTAGTATAAAACTGAAGCTACTCTCGAAGATAGTGCTCCCAAAATGTTGGGGAAAGTAGCTGTTTAACCCATTCCCCTTTTCTGTGCTAGGGAGACTTGCAAGCCAAAGAGCTCTCTTTCTGTGCTTAGTGTTTTCCTGGAGAATGGGGTGATACCCATTTGTGCAGTTATTCTTGTTTTTTCCCATTACTGTAGCATTGCTGTAGGGCTCCTGAGCTTTTCCAGATTTATTTTCTTTCATGGATAACTGCCAGATTGTTCTTTTTAAATAGTGTCTATCTGTTTTGAACTTTTAGTTTTGTTTATGTATTACTTTTCTGATTTTGCTGAGTGGTTTGTCTGTTCTCTTAGTTTGCTGAGCTCCTTTAAAAAACTTATTTTCAATTTTTTGATCAGATGTCTCAATCAACTTTTGCTGCTATAACACAACACCACACACTGGGTATTTATAGAGAAATAAGTTTAATTTTGCTCATGGTTATGGAGACTGGGAATTATAAGAACATGGCACCAACATCTGAAAGAGATCTTTTCTATATCTTAATATGGCTAAAGGTGAAAGTGTAAGATCCAGTAAAAAATTAATAAATAAATAGAGCATGCCACTTGTAGAACAACTTGCTCTTCTGATAGCTAAGCCACTCCTATGACAATGACATTAATCCATTCTTGAGACATTAATCCATCCCATGATCTAATCATTTCCCATTAGTTCTTACCAACAACACTGTTGCATTGGTGACTAAATTTCAACATGAATTTTGAAAGAGACAAACCATAGCATCAGACAAATCATAGTTCTCACAAATTGTTGCTCTTTGTGGAAGAAAAGAAGGCTTGGATCTCCCACTATATTATCTTACTAATGTCACCTTCCCACATGTTAGCTCTTTTAACAATATCCTGCCAGTCGCACATACTTTATTCAACCCTTTTTGTCCTTTTCTCCTCTTCTGACTAGATATTTTTAAATGATCTGTCTTGAAGTTTAGGGATTCTTTCTTTGATTTGATTCCTCTACTGTTGTTTGTGTTGCATTTTTCAAAGCATTTAATGTGTTTCAGCTCCCAACTTTGTGTTTGATTTTTAGTAGCCCCCAAAATCTAGAGGATGCTCAGTTCCATTAGCAATCTGATAGAAGCAAGTCATAAAGCAGTTTCCATGGGAAACTACCCACCGTGTGAGATCACTTCTGTTTTCTTCCTCAGACACAAGCCAAGAGGGGGCTATTTTTCCCAATCATGTGACACTTTTTCCAGGGAAGAAACAATAGCAGAAATGTGCCAAGAATTTTCCTACTGAATTATGTGTAGCTTATTTCTTGCTGAACTGTGATACAGACACTGTTAGCTAGTTTCTGAATTTCTCGCAAAGAGAATTTTTCCATATATTTTTTCTGAAGTGGTATCTCCACTGGGAAGAAGAGGACCTATGAGTTCTTATTCTGTAATCTTGCTGATGTAATCCTCCTAGACACTCTGTCTTATTCATGTCTCATTTATTGGATCATTCATCAGTTCTTACCACTGGTTATAAAATATTTTAAAACACCAATAATGATAATCATGACTAAAGAAATATTGGCTAATACAGGGCACTTGCCATGTGTCAGGAATTGATATAATGACTTTACTATGGTTAATAACTTAATTTAACACATAATAAAACTGAAGCCTGGAAAGATTAAGTATATTTCTTGAATGTATCCACCAAGAGTTGATTCCAATTCAAGCCATCCATATCTATAAACTGTCTTTTCATATTTTCTGTCATGATACTCAATACATATTTGTTGATTGGTTCAGTGAGTTCTAATGTGAATCGCCTGCATCGTCTTCTTCATTACACTCTTGAGTCTGTTTTCAGAAGCCATATTTGACCTTTTATATGCATCTTCACTGTCAAATTTGATTTTTAACACACCTTACTTATAGCTTCTCATGCATTGACTTCTATCTATCTTTATTCTACCAAAAATTTCCTCAACTTCTTTCACAGTCTTCATCTCAAATCTAGTCAATCTTGATATGAAGACAGTCACTGGAATCTTAAATGTCATTCAGTTTACTTCATATCATAGTAACCTATCTTCAGACCCAATAATCTTTTCGGAGAATGAAAAATGTTTTAATTTCATTTAGCAAGTGGAAAACTAAAGGAGAATGCAAATATATCATAATAAAATGTAGAAACAAAAGATGTTTTAATAGAATTAGTGGTCATTTGCATATGATTTATTTATAAATGTTTAATTTTCATTCATGACATTGAATTCTGCCAATTTTTATAAGAACATACATTTTTTTCTTGGTACTCTATGAATATAAGATGTGCTTGAAAAAAAGTCTCTAGGATTTTATCATTCTGTTAAGAATGTCATTTCAGTAATTTTTAAAATGTCTAATTTTATTCTATAAGCATGCAGCATTAATGTTTAGCTGTCAGCCAACTGCAGTGGGATTCAAATTCTATTCATCAAGCTCTCACAAAGTAAATGAAATAATGATCAGATTTAACTGGCTGATATTCACACTTCTGTTCCAGATATCCTCAGCAATTCACCGCCTCCTTCCTACCTGGAAGTGATCCAGAGTTTTTTGTAAAACCTGAGTCTGGAGAACTCCCTCCTTCTCATAGTAAAGGAATACTCATCATTGTAGGATTTAAACCAAAAATGTACAGTAAAAAATACAAAGCAACATTAGGAATACAGGTGAGTTCTGTAAGGGCAATAATCAGGGATCCTTGATGTCACTAAAAGTGCTAAATTATTGAAGAAGAAATGTTTCACCTGTTATCACAGATAAAAATAACAATATTGCCTTTCAAAAGTCAACTCATTTCTACTCCTCTATTTTGTTTTCTTTCTTTTCATCTAGTAAAATAATTTAAATATGGAATATAACAATAAGTTTGTCCACACCAAGGGAAAATAAGGAATTACTCTCCTTTCATACTAAGGAATTATAGAAAAGACATATAATGACCATGGAGTGATTTGTGTGGTCACATATCACTTTAAGTAATATATCCATTCAAGGCTTTGGCATTAGTTTATTTGACATAGAGATTTTGGAACCTTTGATTAGCCATAGAATATTGTAAAAATTGTGAAATCCAAAATGAAGAAAATTAAATAGAAGGTAAATAGGTTCAACTGAAAAAATTTCACATAAAGTGGATCATTTATACAGAAGATTGTTAAGTTGATCATTTTATTAACACTTATGGTAAATGGCAAGTACAATCTTGAAAACTTATCCAAAAAGGAAAATTCCTCTTTAAAAATTTACATATATTTATAGTAAGACATTTTTTGGCTAAAAAACAACCTTCCAATTACTTTGGAAGATATACCTCTTATTACTGTTCATTTTCAATGGCACAGGCACAAAGGGCATGTTGTCTTGTAACACACAACTCCTGATGCCAGTGTGATTTCTAGACCTTTATATCAAATGTAATTAAGTAGTGCCATAGGCATAAAGTTTTGTTAGTTTAATAAGGCAAAAAAATAAAGTTTTGAATATTGTTTGAGAAAATTATTTCTAGTTTTCATCTTTGTAAGAATCTATATAACCTAAGTAATAAGATAATGCCCCTGCCTTGCTGCACGTACCTCATTGCCTGCATTGATCATATGTTTGCTTGCTTACTGAAAGGGGATTAAACGACTTCTTTAAAAAGATTTGGAAATTAAAATGATGTATATTTTATTAGTATATACTGGACATTTCTGAAATTAACTGTTTAGCTAGCTTTAACAACAGAATATGTGCCTAGTTTCTCTGCATTGATTGAACAGTTAGTGAAGGTATATAGTATCAACAAAAAATATAACATTTTCAGTTAGTCTGATGTGATACAATTTGATAAACGTATATAGGTACCAAACTGAGATTGAAATGCATTTAATAGACTGTTTTGTTGATTTAATTTGATTATGGAAAATTCCAAATATGTGCCAAAAAAGGATAATTAATCTACATGCACTTATCATCTAGTATGGATAGTTATCACGTCATGGCCAATCCTGCTTTGTCTATATACCACCCCTTTCCCCACCTTCCATTTTAAAGAAAGCCCCAGGCATTGTATTATTTGCAAATATTTCCTGTTAATCACTAAATGATAAAAATCATAATCATGACACCATTATCCAATCTTACAATTAAGAATAATTCCATAATATAAAAACATATCAAATATTCATTTACTGTACAAATTTCTGGCTGACTCTTTCATCTCATATTTTAGTTATTTTTATTAGTACATGTTTGCAGTACATGTTTACATTCTTTGTGTGGACTTAGTAAATGTTCAGAGCACAACTTAATTCCCTTTTTCAGCCTCTTCACCTCTCCTCCATCCCCTTCCCTCCATCTCTTGATTCCCTTCCCATTTGAGAAAGATTTATCTCCCTATTTCCTCTTGTCTATCTTTTATTTTGTTGCTCTTTATTTATATTTTGGGTTTCTCATATAAGAGAAACCATGCAATATTTAAGCTTTTGTGTCTTATTTATTTCACTTAACATTGTCTCAAGGTGCATCCATTTTCCTAAAAACGACTCAATTTTATCTTTCTTTATGGTAGAGTGGTACTCCATTGTATGTAAATATCACATATTTTTCATCTCTTCATCTGTTGATGGACATATAGGCTGCTTCCAAGATTTAGAAAGTATAAATTGTGCTGCTATATACATGGTTATTCATGTATCACTGTAGGAAGCTGGAAAATTAATATTTAGGAGTCCTGTAAAGTCTTTCCTCAATTTTCCCCAATGATGACATGTTATATATCTATAATAAAATATCAAAACAAGGAACTTGATATTGATAAAATATTGTTAACTAGAGACCTTACGCCATCTTTAATATTTTTATATTTGTGTATTTGCTTGTTCTTCTAAGCAATGTGAACCCATGTATAAGAGGTATGTAACTAAAAGCAAAACCAAAATACAGAACTTTTCCATCACTGCAGAGTTACCTTATGCTTATTCTTTGTAGACATGCCTAACATTGTAATTTCTGCCCTTCCCAAGAAACACTAATCTTTTCTCCATCTTTTTATAGTTCTTTGATTTATAGAATATTATATAAATCCAATCATGCACAGTGTAACCTTTTGAAATTAAGTTTTATGCTAAGTATTATACCCTTGAGATTCATAAGAGCTACTGCATATATGAAACAAAATGATCTGAAAATCATGGCTCAATCAATCTAACTCTAAATCCCAGTTCTTAATTTCTACATCATGCTGACTCTCATGATATATGGGAAGACAATTTTAAAACTTAAATTATTATCTAAATGAAGATTATTATTTACATCATTTTGTTGATTTTTTAGAAAAGCATTAAGTGTATATTGGCAACATATGATCTTCATTGTGCTTCACTTTGAAATAAAAATGGCAATTTGTAAGATCATTGTAATTAAATATTAGCTCAAATAAGCCACAGCCATCATGTTAGCAAGCTTCATACTTTTTCATTCAATTAAATCACATTTACAGTGATTAAAAACTCTTTCCCCATTAGTAAACAAGGCAAATAGCACCAGCTTTGAGTGCTTAAAGTTTACTTGTTCAGATTGGTTTTTTTTTCATTATTCTTAAGTTCTTTTATTGGTACATTTTAGGTATACAATAAAAAGCAGTGCTACTCAGAGTAGTAAATCTGCTCAATTTTCCATAGTGAACGTTGTAACTTGTTAGTTTTTAAAAATGTGAGAACTATCACAATTATCTAAGATGAAACCTGTGAGGCTTTATTTTTATAGTTATACAAAATCATTACTATATACTTATATATAATTACATATAATTTACACTATATTTATATTTAAATGCCCTTTTTATAGCTAGAAGCATAAACAGATGATATATGTACAACTATATTGTATTTAAAAGAATCTATTATTAGCATGAAACAATGGGAAATTGTATTGTAAATATGTGTCTTAGTTTGTATTTCCTTACAAACAGATCCTCAAATACATATATTCAAATCCAAATAGCGTATTTGTTACATGATCTCAAGAAATAGTGATAGGGAAGCAGGATATAAGATACATAACAAAAGGAAACCAATAAAGGGTGCTTTGCCAAGGCATCTGCCACAGTGAACAGCTGAAAATTAATTCCTTGGGAGAAATCTGGGAAATAGCATCAACTGCACACCTCAGAATTTTCACACCCTAGGGGACCGGGAAGTTGGGCATTTTATATATGACTTGACATCATTCCAATCATTGACTGAAGAATTCTCCCAGAGACTGGTAATACTCTAATCAGCAAAAGCCTTCTGGGGTTTCTGAAAAATCCTGAGTCGAAGAGGTGCAGGTACTGCAATTAAAGTTGGATCAGGCATTGAAATGGAAATACCTGAGGTGAGTGGTCACAGACCACTGCTAATTGATAATTATCAATTGTTTCCATTCATAGAAATGCATCCTTAAAAATGTAGCTTTGGTCATTTGTTCCATGAGTACACTGGCTTTGGCTGATCTCTTCAGAACATAGAGACACTACTGTACTTAAATATGGGAATCTCTCCCATTTAAAAATTAGATTTCTTTAAATAAATAGTTAAGGAACATAATGATAAATTGGCATTCTTTTGTAAAAATCAACATCGATTCTATGAGGTATTAGTGATATGGGGGTATTATTATTCTTATATTATTTGAATATGACTTTATATTTTCAAAGGGAGATTGAGTGTAGAAGAAATAGAACTCTTACCTTTAAGATGTTTTTGAAAATATAAATGGATAATTATTTGTATTCACTACTGAATTGAAGAAATTTAACCTTTGATAAAAATTTTAATCTTTAATATTTATTTTATAAAAAAGCTTATCATTAAAATAGCATGTTGAGAAAAAGGGCATGAATTGTTTCCTTAAAATATGTATACACATGCACATATACTTGGAGCCACATAACTGTAAAATTAAAATCTTAACCTGCGTACATAAAATATAATTGAGACTATAAAAATGATGTCTTTTTTGTCAATCATCTTCAAAGGAGTCAGTTATAAGTGTCATGTGAAGATACGAGTCCCTACCTACTTGGGTGCTGAGTATAGGTACAAACCCTGTCATGTAGTTTATTCATGTGAATGCTCTAAGTGTCAGGCATAAGTGCAGGTCCCTTCATGTAGCTCACATATCGGTAACAAGCACCAGGTATGGTGCAAGTCTCTTCATTTATTTCACTCATCTGTAACCATGAAGATGGTCACCTGTATTGGAAAAAATTTACAATGACATATGCACAGTCCCCAAACTTTAAGTTTATTTTTCAAATGGAACATCCTTATATGAAGTAAAACGTTATTTAACTAAGTTGTAGTATGCTTTCTGGTTTGGTTCATTTTTTAATTCTTGGCCCTGAATACAAAAATAACTTCAAACAATTGATAAAAGGGCCACATATGTTTAAAATAAGGCCATGCTTGAGTACAAGAAATTGCTGACTTAATATTTGCTGGTAGATATCACATAATACACATTAAGCCTGGTATAGTGCAATATGCAGTTGGTCTGGGACTCAACATGAATAGATTTCTGAGCATATGTGGTATCATAAAAGATACAGCACATGTTTAAATTTTTAAAATGTATTGTAGAAGAAGACACAATGTCATTAATTTCCCTCAAAATGTTCTTCCTCCTTGCTTCAAACATACTTATCCCATCATTCTTGCCACTTTCTGAAGCAGTTCTGGAAGTTCTCTTTTTTATCTTTAGTTGCACTGTTATGGCTGCTTTCATTTGCTGAATCAATTCAAAACATTTATCTTTCATTGCTATTTTGACTTTGGGGAAGAGCCAAAAGTCCCATGGTGTCAGATACAGTGAATAAGGTGGATTATCTAATGTTTTTTATAATCCTGTCTTTCTGTTGGATGGCGATTGGAAGCAGCATTAGTTTTTTTCACACTTAGTAAAGACACTCATGGAAGAGGACTTCCAGAACTGCTTTAGAAAGCGGCAAGAATGACAAATGTGTTTGAAAAAGGGAGAACATTTTGAGGGAAATTAGTGGCAATGTCTCTTTTACTGTAATAATTTTTTTTAAATTTAAACATTCACTTTATATTTTGATCACCCTTTGTGCATGATACAATTCTTAGTGTGAAAAGCAAGCCTACATAAAACCAGGTGGCTTTAGGAGATTCTGTAGAAGAAATGGGACTTAACATAATTAAGTTATGGTATAAACATAAAATAGTACACTGCCTAGTTGAATATAGCTTAGGAATTATGCTTAATTCATATATATATATATGAAATACAGGATTTAAAAATAAATCTATATGTAAATTGTACTGACTTAGATATAGATTATGATTGTCATCAGTGATCTTATGCCTCTCTTGGTATATTCAAATGGTTATATTACGTACTTTCATAATCTAAACATCAGCGCAACATATTTTACCAAACATCTCTATGGCTACACTTAAATATCCTTGACTTTGTCAGAAAGATTCTTTCCCTTCATTGTAGTTCATTCTGGGCATTATCTCATGTCTATCAAATAGATTGTTTTCTCTTACATCAGATGGATTCACCTGCAGGGCAGATCTTTGGCTGAATGACAGATTTCTTTCTTAATGAATAGTCTTTAATTCATAATGCCAAAAGCTTTCCTTAATTTATTTTCACCTTAAGTATTTATCATTTATAGACGCAGTTTTAGTTATATAAGTATACCATACTCTATAAGGCAAAGAGAAGGGTTTAACTGTGATAAACTTTTCCCTACATTTTCCTAAGTCTCTGGATTTTATACAGTCTCTTTCTCTCTTTATTCAAAGACAGATGATACGTGCTGGATGTATGAAATCAACGGGTTACCACCAGAAACCACACCTCTGATGAATGTAAAACCTAAAGTTAATACTACAAACCAAAGGTATGATGACATGCCCATTCGTCAACGCAATTTTATCCGTGAAAATGCTGAACTCATAAGGACAGGGGTGTCTTCTACCATTAAGGGTGCTCCTTTGGTGATGAAGAGAAAATAAAAAAAAATCAAAATCATTTCTTGGATTCAACTAGAATTGAATTTTTTCATTATTACTATTTTATGTTTTGTAATATTCCTGAGGAATAATAATTTAACAATAACAGGTCTTCTGTATTTTCTTGTATTTTAAAATGCTGACCTAACTAGTCTCTAAACATGTCATACCTCATTTCTGAATTGTGTCTGTTTTTTAATGGATTTTCGTTCTAAATACTGGAAAAATTTGACGTTTAGAATGTGGGAATACATTTTTAGTAAAACTGACACAGAATTTTAATGACAATATTTCAAACATCAAACAACAGTGTTGCTATCAAAACTAAATTTATCATGTGGATTTTGCTTGCAAGTTTTTTTTTCTAAGTTTTTTTATTGGTACATTTTAGGTATACAGTTCGTTTGCATTTATCATTGGGTGTTTGTACCTGTACATGATGTATCTTGGTTCTTATTTTTTCCCCATTACCTGTGTGCCCTTTACCCCCTCTACCCTTCCTTATTTACAGACATCATTTCCATTTTTTTTTCTTTTCTTGTGGTTTTTACTTTCCCTCCTTTCCTTTCCCCTTCCCCTCCCTTCACCCCTTCATCTTTGGACCTTTTTTCTAATTTTGAATTATCAATTATACATTTTAACCATTTGAACCCTTGTTTACACTATCAGCTTCTCATACTAGTGAAACTATTCGTTTTTACACATGTGTGTCCTATTTATTTCACTTGAGTATGGCCTCTATATGCATCCATTTAGCTATAAATAACTCTAGTTTTTTGTTCTTTATGGCTGAGTAGAAATCCATTTATTAAAAAAACCCCACATCTTCTTTATCCAGTTTCCAGTTGATGGGCACTTGGGCTACTTCCAAGCTTTAGCTATTACAAACTGTGCCGCTATGAACGTGGGTGCACATATATCGCTGTGGTATGATTCTTTTAATTCTTTGGGAAGATACAGCAGAGGAATAGCTGGGTCAAATGGGACCTCTAGTCCTAGTCTTTGAGGTGTCTCCATACTGATTTCCACAGTGGTCGCACCAGTCTACACCCCCGCCAGCATTTGTTATTGGTTGATTTCTTAATAGCAGCTATTCTTTCTGGGGTGAGGTGGAATCTCAGTGTTG